CAAGAAGAAATATTCAAGAGAAGAGTAAGTTTCGGAGTCTCTTCCGGTGTCTATTTTGTTATTTTCTTTCATTCCTCTCCTTTTAATGACTGTTTGCTTTCTTCATATATGATGTCTTCTTAAAGTCATCACACAACTCATCTGGTCTTCTATCATTAGTGTTCAATACATCAGATACATCCCTGTGATAGTCTCTAAAGCCAGATGACATATCATCAAGGTCATACTTTGCCTATTGTGGACTTGTTTTAATTTTCTTCAATGTCAACTTGAACTTGAATATGATCAATCAATGATCTGTTCTGCAGTTTTTCCCTGACATTGAGCTTATCGATCATCTCTTCCCAAAGATGTAGTCAATTTGATTCATATATATTTCATATGGTGAAGTCCACGTGTTTAGTAGCTGTTCATGTTGTTCAAAACATGGTATTTACAAAGCAAAATTCAACAAGACAGAAAATAACAAGTGCTGGTGAGGATGTGGAGAGGTTGGGACTCTCATCCACTGCTGATTGGACTGTACAATGATACATTCACTCTGGAAATTGGAATGGTGATTCCTTAAACATTTGGAAATAGAAATGCTATTTGATCCAGCCATCCTATTACTAGGTATATATCTTAAAGAAGTGATAGCCAGGATATGAACAGATATATGCACACCCATGTGAATCACAACACAATTCACTACAGCAAGAGATGGAAACAACCTAAGTGTCCATCGATGCAGAAATGGATAACCAAACTGTGGTTCATACACACAGTAAAATACTATGCAAAACTAAAGCATAATGTAGAATCTGCAAAACACCGTATAACTTGGATGACCTTAGAGGACATTATGCTGAGTGAAATAAGTCAATCACAGGACATATATTGTATTAGTTCACTATTGTAACAAGTCAAGGGAAGGTTTGTACATGAGAGGGAGCTTTCTTTATTGATCACCAGGGATGGGGCGCACGGAATTCTTAGAATTGAAAAAACAAAAGATTATTAGTGGTTACCAGGCATAGGAGTATAGGGAAAGGCGAAGCTTTTGTTTGTGCGGCATTGAGTTTATGCTAATAGTGGTGGCATATTTTGGAGGATAGCAATAATGGTGGCACAACGTGAGAAACATTCATCAATGTCTCTAAGTTGGAATTGGGGAAATTATTATGTTGGTGAATGTCTTTTGTGTATGTTTTCACCACAATAAAAGTAAAAAGCAAAATAAAATAAAAATGGTATATACAATTATTAGATCATTGGTCTTGTAAAATTCTATGATGCCATATCCTGGATCATTTATATCACCAAAGCCATGATTCCTTACCACTGATCCTTCTTTGTATCCAACTTTCAAATTCTAATTACTGGTAATTACCTATGCATCTTGAATGCATGTTTGTTTATCACTTTCAAACTGCAGAAGTCACATTAAAAAAAAAAAACTTCAATTTTTCACGTTTGTCATTTATGGTTGCTGCAAAAATTTGAACATTAGTCATATTAACTGGTCTTCTTTGTAGGTGAATAGATATCATCCTATCTTTAACAGTGTTGTGTATCAGAATAGATCATGAATTGTTCTTTTTGATAATGAATGGAATGCACTTCCCCTTCAATTTTTCATTCCCAGCCTGGTAGGCCATATGAGTACCTAATTGAAAGTAGAGTGAGAGTACCTTAGGATGTTCCTTTCTTGTACTGTTTCTACTTTTGATCTGTTGGCATTATAAAAAGAAATGCAAACTATTTCTTACCTTAAATTTTCTAAAATTGCCCCTTCAATTTTGTCTATACTCATGCTGAAAAATTCTCTCTTCCCATGTCCATCTCAGGTCAGTCTAATCATGTTCTTGCCCAGCAGGCAACAGAAACTGCTCCTGAGGAGTCAGCAATTTCCTCTGCATAGTTAAATCCAGACTTCAATTCTCTATCTGTCACTTTCTTCACTTGTCAGAAACACTGATTATTTTCGTCCTCATTGCAATGGTTTCTTCACTGGGGGTGTTAGGCTGGATAATGGCCCCATAAACAAACATCCCTAATTTGTAGGGCCTGAAATTTTACCTTATTAGGGAAAAGATTCTTTGCAGATGTGAATAAGTTGTGGTTTTATCCAGGAATAGCTGGCTGGGCCCTAAATGCAATCACAAATGTCTTTATAAGAGACATGCAGAGGAAGATTTGAGAGAGACAGAAGAGAAGGTAATGTGACAACAGAGGCAGAGTTTGACATGATGGGGCCACAACCCTAAAGAATAGTGAAGGTAATAGCAGCTCAAGGAGGTTCACTATTATAAAAAGTTAAGGAATGGTTTATATAATGGAAGGAAACTTTCTTTTTTGGTTACCAGGGATGGGAGTGGATGGAGAGGAAAAATTGAGGAGATATGGTGGTGTAGAGCCTAAGACATTTGAGTGCTAACCAGAAGGCTGGCGGTTCAAACCCACCAGCCTCTCCTCAAAAGGAAAATTTCAATATACTTCTACAGAGATACCACCTCAGAAACCCAAGGCAGGGTTGCTATGAGTCAAATTGACTCAACTGCAGTGAGTTTGCTTTAACAATGTTATATTTCGTCCTTAAAATGGCTTTGGAGTGTTTGCATTATTGACTTCAATGTGATGATGAAGGCTCTGAAGGCACTGTGTTGCCAAAGGTGACCAGTTTATAATTGATGATCTGGTTGGAGGTGTGTTCAAATCCCACACTTTTTCTATTATCTGCAGCTCCTCTTCCACACTAAAAGTAAGTATACCACTTTCTCACACCCATTAAGAATCTCTGCTATATTTCCTTCCAGTTATTTCCCCACTCATAGTATTAATCAGCTCTTATCACTCATTCTTAAAGTCATAAGTCTTGAAGTTTAAAGAGGAAATGAAAATATTACCATTGGAGAGTCCACCAAGACACATCAAATGTCTCATTGCAGTTAACCATAACCAGAAAATCAGAATGTTACTATCATGATTTTTAATGAGAGCTGTATCTTCACACAACTGCTGTGCCCTCATCCTCTGTCAAATATAGTTCATTCTCTGCTATCAAATTATCTCATCAGGAAAGTTTGTAGGTAGTTTAACTCAATAAAATACAGAGTCGATTAAGCTATTATTTGGGCAAGTTCTCAGAAAACCCCCAATTGCTGCCTCAGAAATTAAGTCAATAACTCTAATGGATGCATGCATACCCAGGTCATAGGGCACACAAGAAGACCACACAAGGTAATGGGGTGATCCATTAAAGGGTTAATCGGGCTGTCAAGAGTGAATGGCAACAGCATCACTTTGCTGAAAGACATGACCTTTGCAATCCTTGACCAGTGAAAAATAAGGTAAAATTTTATTTATTCATAATGACTTGGTAAATTAATGATCCTAGAGCATCAGTAAAGCCACAGCAACTGGAAATATGATACCACCACATTAATCCTCAATTGTACAACCTTGACCAAGACATATAACTTACAACAACCTTTTTTCCTGAGTATCTTTTGTAATAATCCAATTTTAGACACCTCACAAATACCTTCATTCCCCATGTAGAATGTATCACACAAGATTCCACAAAGAAAAGTGAAAGCACCCTGAAGAGAGTTTAATGTGTGTAATTAATGAAGTAGTTACACAAAGACTGAAAGTCAAAAGGGAGCAATGTGGCAGAACAGAGATTCCAACTCCAGAAAGAAGCCATCAACCCCGGGGCTAAGGGAACATGCATAAGGAAAAGGTCACACTTGTTAGGGTGTAGTGAGCTATACTGAAGAATCTAACAGTAATGTCATTTGGGGAATCAGAACCGTGGTTTAAAATCCTTCTGTTTCTATCTCTCACATCACAAAGTAAATTATAGAAGGGTGAATTTGGGAAAGGCAGACAATAGCTTATCACCAAGCACATATGACCAACAGTACGGTGTGCAGAACAGAGGCAGTTCATTGATGGAATCATCCTATTCCAGGTGGAAGGCCAGGTTCAATTCCCAACCAACGTACATCTTGTGCAACCACCACCTGTCAGTAAAGGCTTGAGTGTTGACAGAGTGTTTAACAGTTTTCAGCAGAGACTCCAGACCAAGGTGGACTACTAAGAAAGGCCTGGCAATCTGCTTCCAAAATGCAACTAAAGAAAATCCTATGGATGACAAATAGATTGTAGTGACGGAGCATGATGATGAAACGTTTTCTTCTGTGGTGCATGGTGTCACCATGTGTCAAGGAGTCAACACAAGAGCAACTAACAACGACATTAAATAAAGGGAGAAGATATGAGGAGAAATGTCAGGAATTTTGGGAAAAACCACTTGCTTGATCTTAGGATAAAAATTCTTTCCTATCTTTCCTGTTGTGAGCTCTGATCACTGTGAGATCTTCAGCATCAGCTCAGGATGAATGAAAGACACAAAAAACTAGTCAACTTTGAAGGAAAAACCTAAAAAGATGAGTAGTTCTCACATTGGCTGAACATTAAAACTACATGCGGCCCATTAAAATCTAATATGAAGCCACATGCTGTCCTAATTAAATCAGAATCTGTAGAACCATGACATTGATTTTTTAAAAACTTCCTAGATGATAATATGAAGTCAAGATTCAAGGCTAGTGACATGCTTTTCAACACATAACCTGCATACACATTTCTGTTACAGGCAAAAGTGATCTGGGTAATCAATTTGATTTATGGTAAAGGATAAAGATTCTAAGTTTAAAAAAAAAATGGAATTGTGCATTTTATCAGGAAGCTTGGGTCATAGTTGAGAAAAACAAAAGGCTCCACAGCTATAATGGGATTTGATCATGCAGACTGACATAGCCCAGAACACTCCCACTATCCCATTGAAGATGTCACAATGGAAACAATGTTCAGATATGAAAATTCAAGGCTGAAACATATGAGAGCTACAATCATTATGTAATCAAGGAGACAAGATTTCTGGGTGCAGATGTTAGGTTTTGCCATCTTTTCCCACACATACATCAAAAAAGATGGTACAAGTGTTGAGATCAGGCTGTTCTTCTGAGGAGCTTCTGCAGGGCTCTTTTGATGTCCCTGTTCCTCAGGCTGTAAATGAAAGGGTTCAGCATTGGGGTGACCACAGTGTACATCACTGAGGCCACTGCACCCTTCTGGGCAGAATATGAGACAGTTGAACTCAGGTACACTCCAAGGCCTGTTCCAAAAAATAAGCAAATGACTGACAGGTGAGATCCACAGGTAGAAAAAGCTTTATACTTCCCACCTGAAGATGAGACTCTCAGAATTGAGGAAACAATTCTCATATATGAGAAAAGGATCCCTGAGACTGAGACACCACCAAAGATGGCACCGATACAATATGCTAAGATGGTATTGGTGGAGGTGTCAGAACAGGCAATGTTAAAGAGTTGGGAAGAGTCACAGAAGAAGCTAGGGATTTCAGCGTCTGTACAAAAGGTAATCTGTGACACCAATGAAAGGTGGAGCTGCGAGTACAAAAGGCTGATGAAAAATGATACCAAAACTAGCAAGCCACAGAGGCGGGGGTTCATGATGACTATGAAGTGCAGGGGGTAACAGATGGCCACAAGATGGTCATAGGCCATCACAGTGAGTAAGAGATCATCCAGACATCCAAAGAGATAGAAAAAGGATACTTGTGTGAGGCAGTTGGCATAAGTGATTGATTCGCTCTGTGCCTGGATGTTCATGAGCATCTTGGGGACTGTGGTGGAGATGAAACCAATGTCAGCCAAGGACAGGTTGGAGAGGAAGCAGTACATGGGGGTGTGCAGGTGGGGGTCAGAGCTGACAGCCAGGAGGATGAGCAGGTTCCCAGCCACAGAGATCAAGTACATGGACAAGAACAGCCCGAAGAGGAGAGGCTGCAGTTCTGGATCCTCAGAAAGGCCTGTTGTTGTTGTTGTTATGTGCCGTCGAGTTGGCCCCGACTCATAGCGATGCCTCCTTGGGTTTCCGAGGCAGTATCACTACAGAAGTAGGATTGCCCAACCCTCCTTCCGAGGAGTGGCTGTCAGAAAGGCCTAGAAGGAGGAATTCTGAGACGCCTGTTAGATTCTGTGGCTCCACGTACCTGAGAGAGCTTTTGGGAAAAGAAAAGAGAAAATGAAACAAGAGAACAGGCACCTTATACTGTGTCTGTTTTTTGAATTCATGAAATTCTCACATAGCTCACTTCTAAACTCACTGCTTTCAAGTCAATTCCAACTCATGGCAACCCCCATTGGGTTTCTGAGGCAGTAAATCTTTATGAAAGTAGACTGCCCCATCTTCCTTCCACAGAGCATCTGGGGGGTTTGAACCACCAACCTTCTGGTTAGCAGTGAAATGTGTTAGTCACTACACCCAATGAGTGCCCACAATTCACACAGAAAGCTTGAATATTCACAGCTGTTAACACTTGAGGAGCTAATACTTCCCACCTGAAGATGAGACTCTCAGAATTGAGGAAACAATTTCCATATACGAGAAAAACATCCCTGAAGGAAAAACCTAAAAAAGATGAGTAGTTCTCACATTGGCTGAACATTAAAACTACATGTGGCCCTTTAAAATCTAATATGAAGCCACATGCTGTCCTAATTAAATCAGAATCAGTACTTTCAGTAATATCACGCAGCTGTAGCAAACTCAATCACTATACTGCTCAAAACTGTTTCCTCATTGTTTGTGCTCTATAACCTTTTTCTGTACACATTCACTTTAGATACTCTTGGCTTAAGAACAGTGGAATGACAGGGACATTTTAAAAATCCATAGAAGAAGCAATGTATCAACCCCTCTACAAGGGAAATACAGGTAATAAGAAATATCCTTTCCCCCCCCCAAAAAAAAATAATAATAATTAAAGGACAATAAAAAGCAATTCATTATTTCTTCCATTTGCTTTAGCTACTCTTTGATCAATAGCAAGTTTCAGAATCTCTTCTGACATCCATATTGTTTTTTTCTTTCTTTTCTGCCTTTTTAAAGACTTTCTTCATGTATGACGTCCTTGGTGTCAACTCATCTGGTCTCATCAGATGAGGACTCATCAGATGAGGACTCATCTGGCCTTTGGTCATTGGTGTTCAATGTGCTAAATCTGTTCTTCATTCAGTCTCTCAATTCAGGTGGGACACACTCTAGGTTGTAGTTTGGCTCTCATGTACTGGTTTTAATTTTATTCAGCTTCAACTCAAACTTGCATATAAGCCATTAATTATCTGTTCCAAAGTCCACACTGGCCTTATTCCAACTGATGATACTGAGCTTCTCCATTGTCTCTTTCCAAGGATGTAGTTGATTTGATTCCTGTGTATTCCATCTTGGAAGTCCACATGCACAGCAGCACTTTATGTGGTTTGAAAAAGGTATTTGCAATCAGTAAGTCATTGGTCGTTCAAAAGTCCATCATGCAACCTCTGGTGTTATTTCTATCACGAGGGCCATATTTTCCAACTGCTTGTGTTTCTTCATTTCCAATTGTCACATTCTAATGAATAGTAATCATCAGTACATTTTGATTGAGTTCTTGGTCAATTTCAGGCTGCAGAAATTGGTTGAAAAAAAAAATTCAATTTCTTCATTATTGGCTTTAGTGGTTGGTGCATGAGTTTGAATAATAGTATGCCTTCCTTGTACGTTTATGAATATTACCTATCACTGACAGCATTGAACTTCAGTATAAATCTTGAAATATTCTTGATGATGAATGTGAAGCCATTCTTCTTGGATTTGTTATTCTCAACATAGTAGACCAAAGGATTGTCTAGTTCAAAATGGCAATACCAGTCCATTGCAGCTCACAATGACTAAGGTTTCAGTCTTTATGCCTTCCATTTCATTTTTAACAATTTCAAATTTCGTAGATTCCTATTTTGCACATTCTAAGCTCCATTTATTTATGGATGTTTGCAGCTGTTTCTTCTCATTTTGAGTCAGTCCTGTCCCATCAGCAAATGAAGGTCCTGACCTTTTCTCCATCGACCTCGTTAAGGTTGACTCTGCTTTGAGGAGGCAGCTCTTCCCCACTCATATTTTGAGTGTCTTCCAACCTAAGAGGCTCATCTTCCAGCAGGACATCCAAAATGCTTCACCGCTATTCAGAAAGTTTTCCAGTAATATATGAGACAGTATTTCATTGTTATTCATAAGGTTTTCCAAGACTAGTTTTTCCAGAAGCCCTGTCCCTCTTCCCAGTCTGTCTTAGTCTGGAAGCTCCCCTGAAACCTGTCCCCGATGGGTGACCCTGCTGGCATTTGAAATACTGGTGGCATAGCTTCCAGACTCACAGCAACATGCAAGCCACCACAGTATGACAAACGGACAGTTGAGTGGTACAGGAGGAAAGCTCCTTAGAAGCAAGAATGGTCAGACTTTGTTCCTCATACTTTGGTCATGTTGTCAGAAGGCACTAGTCCATGCAGAAGGATACCGTGCTTGGCAAAGTAGAGGGTCAGCAGAAAAGCAGAAGAGTTTCAAGGAGATAGATTGACACAGTGGCTGCAACAATGGGCTCAAGCATAGCAATGATGTTGAGGATGACCCAGGACTTGCTTAGGTTTTGTTCTGTTGTACACAGGGTCACTAGGTGTCAGAAGTGACCAGACAGTGACTAGCAACATCAACAAACACATCATAGAGTGGGAAAATTGTTAACACACTTAGCTCCTAACCAGAAGCAGCCAGAGTTCACCCAGAGGCAGCTTGGAAGGAAGTCCTGGTGATCTGCTTCCAAAAAACCAATCATTGAAAACCCCACAGACATAACATACTATACAAAGCATTGTTCCACCTACTACTTTGGCGAGTAGCGACTGGGACCTTAAAAGTTAGGAAGCTGCCATCTAGATGCAACAACAGGTCTCTTCTCATCAAGAAGAAAGAAGAAAACCAAAATTAATGGAAACAATCAGTCCTAGCGACTGGTACACCATCCGATCTGCAAACTATACAACTATGAGACCAGAAGAACTAGATGGTGCCCAGCTACCACTGCCATCCACTTGGAAGGGATGTAGGAGATCCTACATAAAGAGGGAGAACAATGTGGTACAAAACTCAAAATCGTTTGGAGGCAAAAAAAAAAAGAAAAGAAAAGAAAAGAAGGTGGGGACCAGGTTTGCTGGTCCAATGGAGCCTGGTGTAACCACTGAGACTATGGCCCCTAGCTGCCCTTCAGGTCTGGAATTGAACCCACAACTGTGGTTTCCAGTCAAACAAAGTACAGGCATGTGAGTTAAACATTTACCTCAAGTAGACACACGCCCTGGAGAGAACAATCATGGGAGAAGGAAGGACTGCTTATGCACAGGGAGATAGCTCAGGGTTCAGAAGAGTATGAAGGGATGGACACTGGGAGGAGGTAACTATGGGGAGGAAGTGGGAGGGGAGCTGCTGCATTGTAAATTTTGGTCAATGACATGAGACAAAGTATATGTGAACTGCTGTATGAAAAGTGAATTTACTCTGTAAATCTTCATCCAAATCCTAATTAAAAAAAAGAAAAGAAAGAAAACCCCACGGAGCAAAGTTCTACTCTGACACACACAGTGTCATCCTGAGTCAGAATCCACTCAACAGCAACTAGTACTTTTCAGAAAGCAATAAAATGTACTCCAATTTATTACCATGCAATAAATTCCCTTTATTTGGAATAATTATAAAACAACCATAAAGGCATTGAACCACGTTTAAAAATAAAATAAAATAATACAGTAGCCATCAAGTTGATTCCAACTCATGGTGAACCACTGTGTGACAGAATAGAACTCCACAGCGTTTCTTGGCTTAATCTTTATAAACACAGGTCATCAGGTCTTTCTTTCAAAGAACTGAAGGGTGAGTTTGAACCACTAATCTTAAGGTTAGTAGTTGATATTAAACTGTTTGCTTTACCTAAATAACACATTATCTGGATTCTAAATTAAAATAAAATGTTCATAGTCACACAGTATATTTGTATTTCAACTATCTTCACATGTTTTTTTTCAATCCTGGGTTTTCTAACATCCAACTTATATGGAGAGACATGGCCATTCAAATATACTGATTGTCTTTAAAAAATCTTTCAAAATATGTATCCTTCACTTGGCTTTAATGGACATCAAATTTTGATAACTATATGTTTGCTAAATGCACAAAATCATATAGCATTGCTGATTCCAAAGATGGTTAGTTCCGAATGAGTAAATGATTAAACTATCCTTTAGCTTTAAGAAACACACTATTGCTATTTTTCACCATATGCAATGTTACTTGCGTCAATGTTGCACCATCTCAGGGTAATATCTGGTGTTCAGTTGGCTTTTTTTATTGATTTCATTCCATTCTGTATTGGCTTGAAAATAATGAGTAAATATATTTCGCATCCTAAATTTCTGGAAAGCATTGTTTCCTTATCAAAACAACACTCTTATTTACAATTGAGGAAAATAGGATCACGTAGTTCCAAACCAGGTTTGAAACCCATTCTACTTAAGAGCTTTCCAAGTCAATCCTGCCTTATCAGGGGGATTAGAATTCGCATTTCAGCTCCCTGATGGCAACCACTTCTCTTGGCAGGTCCAATTTGATTTAATTTTGGGAAAAATAAAAGTGAAAATAACAAAGGATAATATGAAATAACACATTGGTAATTTGCACATTGTTGAAATATATTTATTAATGAAAGGTAATGTTTAAAGTTGTAAAAAAAAGTGATATTAAATAGTACATATAACATGCTCAAACCAGTAGTTCCCAAAGCTAGTTGATCATTATGATTAGCTATGGATCTTTTAAAATATAGTGATAAGCTGGCCACAACTTGTTATTGTTGTCATGTGCCATCAAGTGCATTTCGACTCATAGCAACACTTCCTTGGGTTTCCGAAGCAGTATCACTACGGATGTAGATTTCCCCATCTTCTTTCTGAGGAGTGGCTGGTGGGTTTGAATAGCCAGCCCTCTGATTATCAGTCAAATGCTTTAGGCACTATGCCACCATAGCTCCCGGCCATAACTTAGAACCCACTAAATTAGACTCTACATGTGTGTGAGTCCCTTAGTCGTCCTGAAGTACAGCCAACAACAAAAAAACCTCACTGCCATCGAGTTGATTCTGACTCATAGAGACCCCTCCTTGGGTTTCCATGGGCGGTATCTCTATGGAAGTGGATTGCCCAGTCTTCCATCTGAGAAGTGGCCGGTGGGTTTGAACCATTAGCCTTCTGGTTAGCAGTCAAATTCCTTAGGCATTACACCACCAGAGCTCCTAAAGTAAAACCAGAGTTGAGAACTATTGCTTTAGATTATTGCCAGGCACTTAGTAAGTGCTCCATTAATGTGATCTATTTTATCATTAATATCTTCTTCTGAACATTTAGTAATATTTGTTTCATAACTCACATTTCAGAGATTTAAAAAAATCACTGAGAAAATGAGTTTTCTTGCTCTCTCTGTATAATCCTGTTCTTCAACGTACCATTTTCACAAAAGGCAATCTTTGTCATAAACTTACAAATTTTGTGGGTATGTTTTCCTCTCAATATTTTTATAATGTCAGTACTAATTTAGGCATCCATAACCAGTTTTCTTGAAAATGTGCCTGAATAGTATAATGCTACACATAGTGTCCTCTACAAGTTCTCGTTTAGTGCAACAGTGTGTCCTAAATTTATGTGGGAAGTACATGCATCTATATCACACCTTTTAAATGATGCATAGTATTGCTGAGTGAAGGATCATTTTGTTTATCTATTTCTTGTTAAGATCATCATAGTAACATTCTTGTTCTAAATTCCCCAATTGACAATTTCTATATGTGCATGGAGGATAGTTTTTAGAGTGTAAAATTGAAGCATGTCCAAATTTACTATTAATTGTAAACATTTATATAACATAGAAAGTCAGACACAACTACATGCTGTTTTTGTCAAGGTATGGAATCACAGATACCACAGAAAGTTGTCTGGTAATGGTTGTTCCATGATCGATCCATATTAAAATTGGATCCTGTGTGGAGAATAATATTCCCACAGCTCAGATTTCCTAAGTATGCAGTAAAATGCATTAATTACTCTTCATAGAAAACCCACCTATTCACAAGATTCATGCTATTAAGTTCCCTGTCAACCATTTAGCCCATTTCACTGATTCACAGATCAACTCACCACCTTGTAAGAGTCAGAATCAATGGCTCAGTTTCCATTTGCTCATCTGAAAAGGAACAGTCATTCACCTCTGGTGGAGGAGACACAGCCCTGCAACAGAAATCAGGAGAGCAAGGCCCAATTCTCATTACCTTTCACACACTAAATTCAGAATGCATGTAAGTCTCTCAACTCCTCTTAACTGGACACATGAGAATAACACCCATAACTCCAATGCATGCGGAAGCTAACCAAGGTTTGACACTTAATATTTGAGCATTGTTTTTTGAATCAGAATTTGAATTAGTATGAAAGTAGTGGGTTTATTGTTGAAATCAATCCCAGTTTTATTTGACTATATAGGAAAGATAGAAACTTAATATAAACCAGGGATCTGAGCATACAGTATCTTGAAATTTTAAAATGTGCCTATACTCACATCATAACATTTACTTTCCCTTTCTCTTTTTCCTTCTTGGTTTTCATTTTGACAAAAACTTTCACATTTAAAAAAAAAATTGTATGTTGTGCACTCTGTTAAATAGGTCTCCTTAAAAATCCATGATACAGACACTGTCTTGCCCTGTGTTACATTGTCTCTAGTCCAATGGAATGAAACACGGGCAGGAAAGCACTCAGAGCGGAAGCCACACAGCTGACGCTCTGATCCTGGGAGACGAGGAAGGGTCTACTCCACATTTAACACAGAGTTGCTGTTGTCCTTGTGATTGGAGCCTACTCTCGGCCAAGCACAGAATGCCAAAAAAACAAAACCCAAACTCACTGCCATTGAGCCAATTCAGACTCATAGCGACCCCTCCTTGGGTTTCTGAGGTGCTATCTCTGCAGAAGTAGATCACCCAATCTTCCTTCCAAGGAGTGGCTGGTGGGTTTGAGCTACCAACCCTCTGGTTAGCAGTCAAATGCCTTGGACACCAAACCACCAGATCTCCCAGGGAACAGGATAGAGGAACATATATCCTACTTTGTTGAGAAAATGACTATTGGAACTAGAACCAATATAATAGAAACTAAAACTCTGAACAAGCATTGTCAGATCTTTACCAGACCCAGGTACAGAAATTCACAGGCCTTCAAGCTGAAACTTAGCACTTCTGGGCCTCCTAGCTGGTCATCCAAAGTGTGCTGCTTTTCCTGGTAGGAAGAAAACAGTACTCCACAGGCCTTCTGTGTCCACTGTCATCCCTGGTTCTCACTGGATTGCACTAGGTCTCTTCTGGGGCATATCCAAAGTGTGCCAGTCCACCATCCCTCCTGTTCTTGGTGGGTGACGAGGGCCGAGGCTCCTTCCTCAGGACTGGCAGGAAGATAGACTCAGGCATGGACCTCCTGAGGCAGAGGGCCATTGAGGAGACGAGACCCAGGTATAGAGCTCACTGGACTGGGCACAGTCTATTTAGAGCCTGGAGGGCACAGACAGGATATTTACAGTTCCATCGCCTTGAGTCCTAACATCTCACAGTTCACAATTAACCAAATTGGTGCATGTTATTCCAGTCTCTGAGGACTTGTTAATGTTAATGAAACAGGAAGAGGAGAAAGTGAATTTCCCTGGCATCCCATCCCACTTTTTCTAAGGAGGAAACTCACTGGTATTCCTCATTTCTGACTTCTAAGTTGTAGAGATCTTAACATGAGAATAAAACTTTTTCTTTTCTCAATTTTTCTATTGAAAATATCAGAGTGTGATTTTATATCCCTAAATCCATTGACTTCATAATACAATGTAAGGCAGATTAGACCTTTACAGGAGTTGCTGGGTGGAGCAAATGGTTAACTGCTCAAGAACTAGCTGAAAGTTTAGTGATTTGAAAACACCCAGCGATGTCTCACAAGACAGGACCTGGGATCTCCTTCTAAAAGATCACAGTCTTACTTCAATCTTTTCTCCATTTATCATGATGCTGCTTATAGGTCCAGTTGTGAGGATTTTTGTTTTCTTTATATTGAGATGTAATCCATACTGCAGACTGCATTCTTCAACCTTCATCAGTAAGTGCTTCAAGTCATCCTCATTTTCACCAAGCAAATTTGTGTTGTCAGCATATTGCAGGTTGTTAATGGTTCTTCCTCTAATCTTGATGCCACATTCTTCTTCATATAGTCCAGCTTCTCAGATTATCTGCTCAGCATACAGATAAGGTGAAAGGATATAACTCTGACAAACTCCCTTCTTGATTTTATACCACATAGTGTCCCCTTGTTCTGTTCAAACGATAGCCTTGTCTTCTATGTACAGGTTCCAAATGAGTACAATTAAGTGTTCTAGAATTCACATTCTTCTCAATGTTATCCACAATTTGTTATGATGCACACAATCAAATGCTTTGCATAGTCAATGAAACACAAGTAAACAATTTTCTGGTATTCTTTGCTTTGAGCCAAGATCCATCTGACATCAGCTATGATATCTCTTGTTCCACATCCTCTTCTGACTCCAGCTTGCACCTCTGGAAGTTCTCTGTCAATATACTGCTGTGACCATTTTTGAATTATCTTCATTAAGATTTTATTTGTGTGTGATATTTATGAAGGAGCTCTGGTAGCATAGTGCCTAAGGCATTTGACTGCTAACCAGAAGGCTGGCAGTTCATACCCACCAGCCAGTCCTCGGCTTCCGTAGTGATTCTGCCTTGGAAACCCAAGGAGGGCCCACTATGAGTTGAGTCCAACTTGACTAATGGCTGAAACCAGTTCATTTCAGCTCACTAATGCCAAAGATATGAATCTTGATATGTTTCAATTCATTTTTGACAACTTTCAATTTTCCTACATTCTTCCTTCATACATTCCACCTTCTGATTATTAATGGATGTTTACATCTGTTCATTCCCATTTTAAGTCATGATCCATCAGCAAGTGGAGGTCCCAGATGCTTTACTCCATCCACATCATTAAGGTCAACTCTACTTTGAGGAAGCAGATCTTCCTCAGTTATGTCTTAAGTGCCTTCTAACCTGATGGGCTCATCTTCTGGCACTCTATCTAACAATGTTTCATGATTCTTCATAAAGTTTTCCAGTAATATATCAGATTGTGTTTCACTGCTGTACATAATGTTTTCAGTCGCTTGTTTGTTCAGAAGTGCATGGTCCCATCCTTCTTCCCAGTCTGTCTTAGTCTGGGAGCTCTGCTGAAATCTGTCCACTCTGGGCTATCCTGCTAGTATTTGAAGTACTAGTGGCATATCCTCCAGAAACACATAAGCTCCCACAGTACAACAAGCTAACAGATGAGTAGTGGTATGTGGTTGTAGCAGGATTTAATTTGTCTTGGGCAAAGGACCATATCTCCTTCAGTGTCTAGCCACATGGGTTTCTGCATTAGGCAGCTCGTAAACATGTCATTTGTCTTGATTCAAAGAGAGTCAGTAGGAGATGAACCGAGTAACAACAAGATGAAACTGAGTGTCTTCTTTCATCCTAAACTTCAAAGTATATTTTCTAACTTTTGCCATATTCTATTCTTTGAAGTGAGTGGCTAGATTCTGCCTACACACATGGGATGGTAATGTACCAGAACATAAATATGTTTATGTTTTATAAAAACACATAATATGTGTTTTTTGTCACTGAGTCATAGATGCTATCCAACACATACACCTTGTCCTCTACGAAGTAATTTGTCTCTAAGCTCACCATACCCTTCAACCCATCACACCTCATCTTCTAAACCAAAGGTCCCATGGAAAAAGTGGCAGATGGGCAGATGTACCTCCGCTTTAGGTACTTGTGAGTACTTCATCATGCTTTCTCTGGCCACGCAATTGTAGTAAGCCTCTTTAGTTTATCTTATACCGGCCTACCTCTGAGATAATGTGGGATCAGTTCCTGACCATCACATCTAAGTGAATATTGCAATAAATTAGGTCACACTTTTTTTATTTGTTTCCCAGACATATGGAAATTATACGTGCATTATACTATAGTCTATCAGGGGTGCAATAGCAACATGAAAATGTTTTAAATATTGTGAGAGTTACCAAGACGTGACACAGAGATACAAAGTGAGCTCATGCTGTTGGAAAAATGGCCTTGAATATTTGCTTGACTCAGGGTTGGCACAAACCTTCAATTAGTACAAATGCAGTATCTGTGAAGCACAATAGAGTAGAGTGCAATAAAACAAGGTATGCTTGCATCAGAAGAGTCCCCATCGACATCAAGCCATGCTGCAGCTATCCTGTGCCCAATCCAACAAACATTACCAGCAGCTCCAGATTGCTCCTTAACTAGAAAGTGTTCACTTCACTCCAAAATATATTTGTCCTTCGATTTATTTGTGCTCAGAAGTCTTTAATAAAATGTGCTTTTGACTCCTCCAGTTTTCTGTATTCTTCCCCTAGTAAATAGAGTGGAATGATGGTGGGCTGCACCTTTTACATCCTGTCAATTTGGCCACCTGAGTAAGACTTTTCTGTTCTGAAGAACTTGGAGATTGGCTTGTTATTAACTGATATGAAGAAAACTTGAATATATACCCAATGAAATAGAATATAGACAAAATTATGCTATTATGTGTGGATAAAGGGCCAAGGGGAATTCTGGGGAGATCAAATGGCAGGGGTGTGCAGATGGAATGGAGAGGTAGAAGATAAGCATTGAGAGCTTTGAGCATTCTTAGACAGTGGAAAATATTTAATACTAAACATAGTGGAAAGAGTCAGTCAGATTCCAGAGTCACTGCAAAAGATGAGTGCACAAGACAGGTGTATGACAACCACAGAGAGTTGTGATCTTGTGATAAACAGAGATATCAGCTTTGTGTTTTTCCCACTTCTCTCTATGGATGAGTATCTTCAATAGTAAAAGAAAGTTAACACATTCCTTCATTCCCTTTTTATATGTCCAATCGAGGGATATCTACCCTCAATTGTTTTTATTCCTGTGTTATTTACAGAACTTATCCAACCCCACTTCTATTCTAAGACTCTTATTTTGCAGAACAATTAAATGGTGAATATAGATAGCTTCAAATGTCAACAATACTACAAACAAACTACATTTTTCTTCTTTTGGGAGTTCTCTAAGATCTCAAATGGAAGATATAATGCTCCATGGAAAAGAAAAATGCTGGATGTCAAACTGCATTTATCATTTTTTATAAGATAATGAATAATTTATTCAACATTATACAAACTAAAAATGAGAGTTATCTATCGCCTTATTGCAGTAGATTTTGAGGACATAAATAAATGATATTCAACCCCTACCCTTGAACTGCTCAAGGTCTTTGGGGGAAAAGATCAATTGGAATAGTCACTAGGCATCCAGGGAAAAGCACACATGGAGTTCAAATAATTTATTGAAGAGGCATCTGTGTTACAGTAAATGAAACCAGTGATGATATCTATATTTATTGAAATCTTTCCATGCATAATATGCATTACCTGCTTAATCCTTAGAGTGCTGCAAGCTAAATAATATTGAAGATGAAGAATAAAAGCCTTGAGAGTCAAATATCAAGTCTAATTCCACACAGCTAATGAGTTAGCAGAACTGATGTTGTAGATCAAATATTCTGTCAGCAAAGCCCATTAGTCGAACCACTACCAGAAGCCAGTTGCCACCAAGTTGACTCTGACTCCTGGTGACTCCATGAATGTCAGAGTGCAACTATACTCTATAGATGTTTCAATGGCTGGTTTTCAGAAGTAGATTGCCAGGAATTTCTTCCGAGGCACATGTGAGTGGGCCCAGATCTTCAGTCTCTTGGACAGTAGCAGTCACGTTAACTGTCTGCACCACACAGGCCATCCCTGAACCACTGCACTGGTCTGTTCTTCTGTAACTATGTTAGTGTCCAATTAAACCAAAACCAAACTCACTGTCATTGAGTTGATTCTAACTCATAGAAATCCCTTTTGGGTTTCTGAGGCTGTAAATATTTATAGAAGTGGATAGCCCCATCTTTCTTCCATGGAGCAGCTGGTGGGTTTGAACTGCTGACCATCTGGCTAGCAGCCAAATGCCTTACCCATCACACCACCAGAGCTCCTTGTCGTTGTTGCTGTTATGTGCCGTCGAGTCAGACCCAACTCATAGCGACCCCTCCTTGGGTTTCTGAGGCAGTATCACTACAGAAGTAGATTGCCCAACCTTCCTTCCGAGGAGTGGCTGGTGGGTTAGAACCACCAGCCTTCTGGTTAGCAGTCAAGTGCCTTAGGCACTATGCTACCAGACAGAGCTCCTTAAAGTATCCAATTATTGATGCATTACTATGTATTAAACACTGTTCTAATCAATACTTTTGATTACTTCCCCTTAACCACTTTCTCAGTTGAGTGGTTTTATTATGACAACTATATAGATGATGAAGTTAAACAGACAGTTGTTTTGTATTATGCACAAGATCACAGTTTGTAATAAGAAGCTGTTCTGATGTCCTAGTATTCATTCTAAAGAAGAACTTCCTTAAAGATACAAGAGCTGCCATTTGATGGTAAATTACCATTTGATCTGACCTTGACAGCATCATATTTAATGGTTACAATGTACTTGGAAGATTGCCATTGTCTTTGTTAGGTGTCATGGAGTTGGTTCTGACACTTAGTGACCCTATCTACAACAGAATGAAACACTGCCGGGCCCTGCATCATCCCCACGATTGTGGCTACGTTTGAGCGCGTTGTTGCAGTGTCCCTGCACTGTTTGAATCCATCTCATTGATGGCCTTCCCCTTTTTCACTCACACTCTGCTTTGCTGAGCATGTTGTCCTTCTCCAGGCACTGGTGTCTCCTAATAATGTGTGCAAAATACATGAGAAGAAGTCCTGATATCCTTCTTTCCAAGGACCATTCTGGCTCTACTTCTTCCGAGACTATTTGTTTGTTCTTCTGGCAATCCATAGCATACTCAGTATTCTTTGCCATTACCATAATTCAGAGGCATCAATTATTCTCTGGTCTTCCTTATTCATTGTCCATATTTCACATGCATAAGGAGCTCTGTGGCATAGTCACCTAAGGCATATGACCTCTAACCAGAAGGCTGGTAGTTCAAACTCACCAACCACTCTCCAAAAGGGACACTAGGCAATCTACTTCCACAAAGGTTTACCACCTCGGAAACCCAAAGTGGGTCTCTATGAGTTGGAATCAATTCGATGGCAGTTTGGTTTGGAAGGGGCAATTGAAAATATCATGGCTTGGGTTAGGCACACCTTAGTCTTCAAGTCTTCAAAGTGAAAACTTTGTTTCTTAACACTTTAGAGAGGTTTTGTTTTTCGAAAACTAGCCCAATGCACTATTTCATTTGATTTATTGACTGCTGCTTCCCTAGGTGCTGATTGTGGATACACGTAAAATGAAATCTTGGCAATTTCAGTCATATCTCTGTTTATCAATATTGCTTATTGATCCAGCTCTGAGGATTTAGTTTCTTGACATTGAAGTGTAGTCCATACCAATGGTTGTAATCTTTAATCATCATCAATACATTCTTCACATTCTCTTATCTTTCAGCAGACAAGGTTGTGTCATCAGCATATCACTGGTTGTTAATGAGTATTCCTCCAATCCTGATGCCAAATTCTTCTTCATGTAATCCAACTTCTCAGATTATTTGCTCAGCATACAGATTGAACGAAGATGGGGCAATCTACTTCTGTAGTGATATCACCTCGGAAACCCAAGGAGGGTTCTATATGAGTCAGATCCAACTCAAAGGCAGTGAGTTTGGTTTTGGTTTTATACAGATTGAATAAGTATGGTGAAAAGGATTCAGCCTGACACACACTTTTCCTGAACTAGATAGATAGGCTTATTTCAATTCAAAAATGGCAATAAGTAAGTCTTACTCTCCTCCCCACACACACACCTTGAGCATACATTGTAATATTCCTTTGCACACTTCACCAATACCTTCCTTCCCCATACAGAATCTATCAGTCAGGATTACATATAGAAAGCATTGTGAAGAGAACTTAATACAGGAAACTGGTAAAATAGTTATACATTCACAGAAAAGCTAAAAGAAACAATGCTGCAGTAGAGAGATAGGAACTGCAGAAAGAACCTAGCACAACAAGAGCTAACAAGTGTAAGAAAAATGTTGGGATTGTTAGGGCACTTTACTGATCACTATTAGAGGAACCTAACAGGAAAACAAGACAGAAAATCAGAATAGTGATCTACAGAGCCTCCCTTCTCCATCCATAGCCCCACAAAGTAAATAATAGAAGAGTGACTTGAAAGAAGAGAGACAGTAGCTTAATAAAAAGCACATATGACAGCGTTACTGTGTGCAGGCAGGGGCAGTGGTACTTCAGTAGTAGGATTCTCTCCTTCCATGTGAGAGACTTGTGTTCAGTTCTGACCAATGCACTTCATATATTGTCACCACACATCTGTCACTGAGGCTTGTGTGGTGTCAGTGGAGCTTCAAGACTAAGCCCTAAGACAAAAGACCTGGTGATTTATTACCAAAAGTCAGCCAATGGAAACCTATGGATCACAGTGGTCTGATCTATAACCAATAATGGGGATTGTGTAAGACAAGACAGTGGCTGGTTCTCTTGTCCATGGGGTGGCCATGATTTACAAGTGAGGGATAGCTAGAAGAAAGCTAATAACAACAACAAGGTGTGGAGAAAGAAGATAAGAGAAAAAATGTCATCAGAAATATTGGGGAGAAAAAAAAGTTGCCCGTTCTTAGGATGCATTCTTTCATATCTTTCACCTTGTGAGCATTACCACCTTCAGAAAGTGTTCAAAAGAAGTAAAAAATACACAATAAACTAGTAATCTTTGAAGGAAAAGTCTGATAATATTAGTAGTTCTCACATTGGCTGAGCCCCTAAGGTCAGAAAGCACTCAAAATATGATTGGGGAAGAGCTGCCTTCTCAGACGACACCAACTTTAATGATGTGGATGGAGTAAAACTTTCAGGAGCTCCACTTGCTGATGTGGCACGACTCAAAATGAAAAGAAACAGCTGCAAACATCCGTTGAAATCAGAACATAGAATGTACAAAGTATGAATCTAGGAAAATTTGAAGTTGTCAAAAATGAAATGGAATGCATAAAAAGCCTCCCTCCAAAAAGTCATCTGCTGGCTGCTTTTCAGCCCTCCCCTACCATTTCCAGCCCTCCCAAAAGCAGCAGTCAAGGTATCAAAAGATGTATTGCATTGGACAAAAGACCTCTTTCAAGTGATGAAGAATAAAGATGTCTCTTTGAAGACCAAGGTGTGCCTAACCCAAGGCATGGTATTTTCAATTGCTTCATATGCATATGAGAGCTGAACAATGAGTAAGGAAGACCTAAGAAGAGTTGCTTTTGACTTGTGGTGTTGGCGAAGAATGCTGAAAGTACCAGGGACTGCTAAAAGAACAGATCAGTCCTGGAGGACGTGCACCTGGAATGCTACTTGGAAGCAAGAATAGCCAGACTTCATCTGACCTACTTGTCATGTGGTCAGGGGGGACCATTCCCTGAAGAAGGATGTCATGCTTGGTAAAGTGGGGGGACGATGGAAAGGGGAAGACACTCAATGAGATGGATTGACACAATGGCTGCAATGATGAACTCAGGTGTGGCAAGGATTGTGAGGCTGGTGCGGACCAGGCAGTGTTTCATTCTGTTGTACATAAGGTCACTATGAGTCAGAGCTGCCTCGACAGCACCTAACAGCAAAAAAATGTGGCAAGATATATATATGGTTATAGATGTTTGGTTTTGCTTTTTTCCAACCCATACAAACAGAAAGATGGCACAAGTGTTGACATTAAGTTGTCCTCCTGAGGAGTCTCCTCAGGGCTCTCTTGATGTCCTTGTTCCTCAGGCTGTAGATGAATGGATTCAACATGGGAGTGACCACAGTGTACATCACTGTAGCCACTGCAAGTTTCTTGGAGGAAGATAAGATGGCTGAACTGATATACACTCCAATAAGTGTTCCATAAAATAAGGACACAACTGACAGGTGAGAGCCACAGGTGGAAAAGGCTTTGTATTTCCCACTTGATGATGGAATTTTCAGAATGGTGGAAACAATTCGCACATAGGTGAAAAGAATCCCTAAAACTGGAATTCCAGCAAAAAAGGCACCAATACAACTCAATAATATGTCACCAGTGAAAGTGTCAGAACAGCCAAGTTTGATGAGTTGAGGAGGGTCACAGAAGAACTGAGGGATTTCCACCTTCTTGCAGAAGCTAAGTTGTGATATCATTAAAATGTGCATCTGAGAGTCCAAAAGGCTGATAAAAAAAGACATCAAAACCAACAAACCACACAAACGGGGATTCATGATGACTGTGTAGTGCAGGGGGTGACAGATGGCCACAAACCTGTCATAAGCCATCACAGCCAGGAAAAGATCATCCAGACATCCAAAAGTGGAATAAAAAACCACCTGTATTATGCAGCCTGTGTAGCTGATGGATTTGCTCTGTGTCTGGATGTTCACTAACATCTTGGGGACAGTGGAGGAGGTAAAACCAATGTCAGCCAATGACAGGTTGGAGAGGAAGAAGTACATGGGGGTATGGAGGCGGGAGTCAGAGCCAATGGCAAGGATAATGAGTGCATTCCCTAGGACATTAACCAAGTACATTGTCAGAAACAGCCCAAAAAGGAGGGGCTGAAGTTTTGGATCTTTACAGAAGCCCAAAAGGAGGAATTCAGAGATACCTGTTAGATTCTGGGGCTCCATGAACCTAAGACAAAGTATGGAAAAAGAAAAGAGGATTTTTAAAAGGAAACAAATAGTGACTATATTTTGAATTCAAAAATTCAAAGTTAAGTGTTCATAATTAATGACCTAATATCTTAGTTCCTTAAGCAATATTTCTGTTGGACCAAATCCATTCTCTCAGAACTCTTCCCTTTTGATGTCCGTGCTATTCTGTTTCTGTACACCCTCATTTTATTTGTCTAATTTACTTTATATTGTAGTTTCGGTGAAAGTTTATAAAGCAATTTAATTTCCATTCAATAATTTATACACACATAGTTTTGTGATATTGGTTACAATCCCCTCAATATAACAGCCACCCTTCCTCCTTGGTTCCTTGTTTCCATTTCTCCTTATTTCCTGCCCTTCCTACCTTCTGAGGTTTGTTGTTAGGAGAATACTACCTTTGTGGTCTCATATGTTTGATTGTACTGAGAAGTAGATTCTGCTCTGACGTTATTATTCTATTTATGTTGCAATGACTCTGGTCTGAGTCGACAGCACATAACAACAACAACACACTTTAGCTGAAATTTGATTCTCAGAGATGAGTTTAGTTCCAGGATTGAAATGTGGCTAAGGGCCCAGTCTCAAGTGTTACGTGGTTCTCTATCAGATCAGTAAGTCTGGTCTTCCTTTTTTTCTTTATTTGATTTTCACTTTTTTTCTACTTTTTTTTTCCTTCCCTTTTGGTCTAGAACCTTCTATTGTGTTCGTGATCAGAGTGGTTGGTAATGGTAGTAGCATCATCTAGATCTTCTGGTCTTAGGGTAGTGGAGGCTGTAGTTCACATGGTCCCTTAGTCCTTTGGTCTAATTATTTCCTTGACTCTTTGTTTTTCCTTGCATTTCTTTGTTCTGGTTGAGGAAAGACCAATATTGTATCTTACATGGCCACTTGCAAGCTTTTTAGACCTAACTCGCTGCTCACCAGAGAATGTAGTACATGGTCTTGTGCACTATGCTATTCCAATGAACCTTGGTGTCCCTCAAGCCTGTAGTCATCAATCCCAATTCCAATCACTCCTTCCCTCAAGTTTTTGTTTGTTTGTTTGTTTCGCACTCTCACTTTACATACAGAAGGCTGAAGAATGTGAGAATAGCAGAGAGATTTTAAGATAAGAACTACATAAATTGAGTAAAATATCAGCCCCCTACAAAGAAAACATATGCAATAAAAAATATCCTCTCCTTTTAAGTGAAAACAGAATGTTCCAATTATAAGGCATGAAGGAGCAGTTGAGGGCAGTTTTTGTATTTTTATGTGAGAATTCTTGCTGTCCATGGAGGAGACCTGGGGCCCATCAGCCAACACCCCTCATGCACAGCCACTACCCATCTGCCTGTTTGTTGTGTGAAAATTTTCAGGTGGCCATGCTGCTGGACAAGCATCAGTAGACCTTCAAAACTAACACAGAATAGGAACAGAGGCCTGATGATCCACTTCCAAAGATCAGCCAATGAAACTTTGTGGATCACAAGGAACCACTGTCTAATCTACTGCTGATTATGGGAAGGTGCAGGACTGGGCATCATTGAGTTACATTGTGCTTTGGGTACCATGAGGTGGAGCACACTCAATGACAACTAACAACAACAACAAGAGGTAGTCAAGTGTACTTTGTCTCATTCATATACAGTGTAATCAATACCTTTGTTTAGAAATATGTATAAACATCCTACAAGTGATGGAACCACATGAACCCATTGATGTCAAGTTGAGTCTGACTCCTAGTGACCCTGTGAGACAGCAGAAATGTTCCACAGGGTTTCCAAGTCTTTAACTCATTCTGGAAGCAGACTGATGCATGTTTCCCTTGAAGCACAGCTGAGATTTCATGAGCAAAGAAGCACTTTAACCACTACAAGACGAAGGCTCCTACAAACACACTAGCTGGACTCTTAATTAAAATGAAATGTTTGTAATCAGAGAGCATTTTATATATCAATTGTTTTCATGGGTTCTCATCATTCTTTGCTTTTCTGTTATCTGTCCTCCATTGAAATAGATTAAGTCATCTTTTTTAAATATTTTCAAATATTAATCCTAACTCTTGACTTTGATGAATATAAAAATGTTATAAATACATTCATAAGTGTATAACACCATACATTATTGATGATTTCAAAGATGGCATTAGTATCTAAAGAGCCAATGATGTAGCAATAATTTACTCTTAAGAAGAAATCTGTCCTTGTTTTCCTTTGTCTGCCCTGCTTTTTGTATCAACACCACACCGTCCAGGGAAATGTCTGAGGTTGAATTCAGGGTTTCCTTGTTTTGCTTCCATTCTCTGGTTGTTTGGTAATAGTGCTTAAGTGTGTTTCTAATTCTGAATTTTGGTGAAGACTTGTTCTTTTATTGAACCAACCCTCTTGTTCATAGCCAAGTGTTTAGGGCCAACAAAGTGCCAGTGGGAGTCCCTGGATGGTGCAAAGGGTTAAGCCCTTGGCTGCGAACACAGAGCTCGGCAGTGCAGTCTGCCCAGAAGCACCTTGGGAGGAAGTCCTGGGGCCCTGCTGCAGACAGGCCACGGCAATGGAAGCTCTGTGGACCGCAGTGCTGCTCTGACATGGACGGGGCCGTGAGTCTTCGTCAACTCGATGTCTACTGGTCAAGGGGCCCTGGGGAGGCACTGGTTGAAGAGCCTGCCAAAAATATTTGGTAGTTCGAACCCACCAGCTGATCCCCTGGAGAAAAATGTGGCACATTGCTCCCGTAAAGATGACAGCCTTGGAAATGTGCAAACACTAGTGGGGCAGTTGTGCACTGTCCCATAAGATCACTATAAGCCAGAATACTTGACAGCAATGGATATGGCTTTCTAGTCGGGAGCTGTCAAAGCCAGGTTTGAACCCAGCCAACGTATGCCTACTACTTACAAGTTTCTCAAATCCACCTTTCCTATCAGGGGATTGGGATTCTCTTAATTTCAGCTCCTTGAAGGCAACTCAAGAGAGGAATCTTTTGTTTCAGTAGGTTCAAGATTATTTAATTTGTGAAAATGCATAAGTGAAAACAACAGAGAATAATATGACAAGTATCTGTGTAGTTTGCATGTTTGTTAAAAGATAACTATTAATTGAATCTAACTTTTAGAATTATAAGAAAATAATAATACACATTGAGTGCTAAGACTTGTGGTCTTTGGTGTTAACTCATTACAATTATCTGTTGATTCTTAAAAATATACTGATAAGCTGGCCATAGAAAGAGCCAATTAAATCAGACCCTCTGTGTGGAGCTCCTTGGTCACTGTTCTGGTTCCCTAGTGCCGCTCTGACAAGAATATACCACAGATGGGATGGCCTTAACAAACAGGAGTTTATTCTTACAATTTAAAGGCTTTAAGTCCAAGTTCAAAGTGCCAGGCTCTAGGGGCTGGGTGAAAGCCCCTCAACCTTGGGGTCCAGCTCTGCCTCTTGCTCCTGGCCCACTGGAGCTAGAGGTGTTTCGTCACTCAGACAGCTGCTGGCTGCTGAGGCTGAGAAGCCCAAGGTTGACAAGTAAAAAGGCACAGTCCTGATGTTACCAAACCACACGACAGGCCATTAACTTATGTCCACTGTAAGTCTCAAGGTTGGCAGAGCATGGCAGGCTGCTGAGCAATGACACGGCTACGTTCAGGGTCCAAGCGTGCCATAGGCTAGAGACCATTCCCAAGGCTCCTCCTTATATACAGGAAGCAGACCACATCCCAAAGGCAGCTACTCAGCTGCTCGCAGTAGATTCCACCATGGAGTTGATTACCAGTCTCATCATGGGGAATACTACATCCAGCTGCCCAGCCACTCAACCAGGCCTAGCCAAGTTCACATACAAATGTAACCATCATAGTCACCCTGAAGTACAGCCAGGGCTGGGAAGCATCACTTTAGATTGTTGCAAGGGACTAAGTTAGCACTTCAATAATGATACCTGCTTCGTTATCATTAACATGTCATTCCACATTAAAACACACACATTCAATAACATTTGTTTATCCTCATGTTTTATAAGATTTTAAAATATTACCCATGTAACTTGAGTTTCTTGCCATCCCTACATCATCCCCTTCCTCAGCAGACTTTTCCCAAAAAGGTAGACTACCTCATGAATTTGTGGGTATAATTTTCCCCAAAAGGTTTCTTAAGATTAATATTGGTGTATGTATCCAGAAACATTTTTCTTGGAAATGTACTTAAGTAGTATCTTGCTATACATACCTTCCCTCAAAATTTCTCATTTCCTGAAATGTTGTCTTTTAACTGCCTCTGTGAAATACACACCCCTATTTCAAACACTTTAAAGGATGCAGTGTATCACTGAGAAATGGATTCTTTAATTTGTTGATTTCTTATAACAACAGATCTATGTAAATTTGTGTGCCACTTTTCATATAATAGAGTTGTTGTTGTTAGGTGCTATTGAGTCATCTCTGACTCATTGTGACTGTATGCACAGCAGAACGACACACTGCCTGGTCCTGTACCAGCCTTAAGCAGTTGAGAATTCCTATATTATATATGCATGGAACATAGATTTTTGAGGTGTAAAAATAAATGGATGGCCAAATTTTTTATTAATTGTTAGCATTTGTTTTCAAACAAATAGAAAAGTTAGGCACAACTATGTGTTCTTACTGTGAAGGTATGCAATCACAAATATTCATGAGAGTTGTGTGGTAATAGTCCTTCCATCATAGAGCCACACGGAATTCCCCCCCCCCTCATACAAGGAAACAGGGGAACTCTGGTGGTGTAGAGCCTAAGGCATTTGACTGCTAACCAGAAGGCTGGAATTTCAAACTCACCAGCCATTCCTTGGAAGTTTGGACAATCCATTTCCATAGAGATACTGCCTCAGAAACCCTAAGAGGAGTCACTATAGGACCTTTGGTAGCATAGTGGCTAAGGCACTTGATTGCTAACCAGAAGGCTGGAGGTTCAAACCCACCAGCCACTCCTCGGAAGGAAGGTTGGGCAATCAACTTCCGTAGTGATCCTACCTCAGAAACCCAAGGAGGGATCGCTATAAGTCGGGTCTGAC